AAAAACCTTCCGAGTCTGACAAGGCTTGTAATCTTCTTAAAGAATGATTATATTTTACTTCCTTGGGTGAAAGAATCCTGCCTAACTGGTACCATCACCTGCACGACAGGGCACATGGACCAGCTAACAACTCGATTATATGTCTTAAATCCCACAGCAGGTATCTAACTACACGGGTAGCCTGCGCTGGTCTCACAAGAGTGTCTGAACAGCGCAGACACGCTTTAAAATGGGAAGTTTGGGTTAAAAAAAGGTCTGTGCGTCACACGGAGCAGGATGCCGGCTCTGTGGAGGCTGCGGAACCGGAGCTCTCTCTATAAAAAACGCCTCTTTTATAAAACCGAAAGGAAAAGGGCCGGCTTGAGGCAGCCCCCCACCCCGCTGCCAGCCGTCAGGGCGAACCGCTGCTGGCTGCGGGGGCGCCTCGGCTGCCCCCTCCGGAGCCCACAGCCCCTCGGCTCGGCGCTGCCACCCCCCCGGCTCCCCTCCCGGCCTCTCCTCCCCTCCCCGTGCCCGGCCTTACCCGGCCAGCTCCAGCAGCAGGCTGCCGAGGCTGACCCCCCTCGCCGAGCCGGCCGCCAGCACGGCCGCCAGCTGCGGCAGCTTGAGCACGGCGCACACCGCCCAGGTGCTCCAGTGAGCCAGCTCTAGCAGCGTCAGGGCCATGCCGGCGATGGGGAACCCGGCTCGGCCCGGCACAGCTCGGCTCGCCACGGCTCGGAGGGGCGGGGAGCAGCGCCCGGCCCGGCCCCGCCGCCATGGGGCGGCCCTCACGGAGCAGCTGATGGCGCCCGGGCACCGCCATCTCCGCCCCGAGCTCCCCCGGGCGGCCGCAGCAAGGGCGAGGCCCGGCCCCGCTGTGCTCCCATAAAACCATATACTCCCCTAAAACCATATACTCCCCTAAAACTGCCCCACAAGGAGCCCCATGCTCGGGGCTGGGAGCTCCGAGCCTGAAATTAGTCCTTGCTGTCCCCCAAAATGACAGTCCCACAGCCATGGTCGCAGGGTGTTTGTGTGAAGGGTCCGCCACAGGTTACGTTCACCTAGGAGTAGTGGATCTCAGCAGTGCTTTGGGAGATGCTGAGAAGCACAGAGATCAAAGGTGAATTTCGGTTTGCTACCCCAAACTGAAGTCTCCTTCAGCCCCCCAGGTTTTTAGGCCACCCTGTCTCAATCATCACGGTGCCGGCTCCATCAGTAGGCACGGTGTGGTTTTGGCAGTGTCAGTTCTGGTTGTACAGAAATAAAAATAAATAAATAAATAAATAAATAAATAAATAAATAAATAAATAGCTTTAAGTTTCTGAACACTGTTCTTGTCAAATAATGAGAGCTGGAGTAGCTTTCCTGGAACATAACACCTACCTACCATGCACAGTTGCGCACAAAAATAGGAAAGTGCTGTTTTTAAAGCTTTTGTACCTACCAGATCGTCAGAACTAAGTGAAAGCCATTCTCTGAGGAATGTGTGTTTGTACTGATCACACAGGATCTTGGCTCTTTCATACCTGCATTTGGCTGGGATTACTCAAAGTGTCAAATCCATAGCATTAATTCAGGTTTTTAACTACAGCATAATTGCAATAACATTCAGGGTTATTTTCAGGCATAAAACTTCTAGCATTCTTATGAAAGATGTATTTATATTAGATTGATGGTCCTTATACAATTCAGTTTCTGCTCTTCTGCAATTCTACTCTTTTTTTTTTTTTTTCCATCGTTTCAATAACATGGTTTGACAAACAGATTTATTGCATTCATTCCACATTCATTTAGTGGAACTTCAAAACAATAATATTACTAATGCCTAATTTGTAAATCATGTCAGCCTCTGTGTAAATCAGTCATAAAACATAGAAGTATACAGGCATACATAAAATCTCAAAAAATGGACTCCCCAAATGTAGAATTCTAATTTAAAAACTATGATCTGTCAATATAATTCAAATGAATCAACCTTTTAAAAGACAAACTCTAAAAGAAAGCAAAACTTGAAAATAGCTTAAAATAATTACTGTTCCAAGATTTTCTTGATGAACTTGAGCTTTCAGCCTTGTGGGAGTATTATGTACTTGGAAAAGAGTTGAGTAACCCATCACAAGAAGCTATCTCATGCTCATTTAAAATTAGGCCTGTGATATAGATGTGTTTGGCATTTCAGATAATCTGGGAATAATAGAGAAATAGTTAAGGTAGAATTTGTATATCTGCATTGCTGTGTGGGTGCAGCTTCAACAAAGTGCTCCAAAAATACTGGTAATACTCACTGCCTTCTATCTTGCTAGAAATAATCAAGGAGCTGAACTGAGCTCAAACAATTAAGCAGCTCCATGAGCATACTTTTATCCAACTGTTTTCATATTTTCACAAAGACATGCAATGTTTACATTTAGTCAGCATTGCAGCTTTCAAAATTTTGCTTTGTAGTGCAAGCAATCAGTTAGACAAAGACCTACTCTCCTTCCCCTGTCGTGTCTGTTCACGGTGCTGCACAGCCCAGGATTAGTGTATGGCATTACATAATGAACCAATGAAAAATGCTTTTATTTGTCTGTTAATAAGAAATTCTTAGTACTCTGTTTCAATTTCTTAGTTGAAATTGGTGAAGGATGTAAAGGAGAAAAAAAGCTTCCAATAAGCACTTTTGCAAGAAGAGAAAGATGAAGGAAAATGTGAGCACATTGCTCACATCTCCTTCATGTGGTAGGAGACCTACTTAAGAAGGGCAGGGAAAACGCCAACATGGCCATTGCCTTCTTTTGTCTGTTTTTACAAGCAAGGTCTACTCACAGGCCCCTCAGGTTCCATGAGCCTAGGGGCACAGTTGGAGGGAGTGAGATACTGTCTGTGGTAGGGAAAGAATTAGGACTGCTGAAGAGATCTGAACAAAGCCTGCTGTGCTGGACCAGATGGGTTGAATCTGAGCTTGCAGAAGGAGCTGGTTGACGTTATTGCAAGACCACTGACATTTATCATCTTTGGAGGGTTGATGGTTAGCAGAGGTCATTTCCCAATGACTGGAAAAAGGCAAACGTCATTCCCTGTCTTTTGGCAAGAAAAAGGATCCAGGGAGCTACAGGCTGGTCAACCTAACCACAGTTCCCAGGAATATTATGGAGCACATGCTCCATATTGGCCTCCTCTGGCCATTTCCAGGTTCTGATAGACAAGAGTGTAGCTGGGAGCAGCTGTTTCGGATTTAGCAAGAGCAAATTGTGCCTGAATTGGCCTGATTGCCTTCTGTGAGGTAGTTGGCTTGGAGGATGAGGGAAGAGCAGTGGATATCATTTACCTTCACTTCAACTGGGCCTTTGGCCTGGTCTCATTTCATGTGAATCTGGAGAGATAGGGGACGGATGGGAAGACCACAAGGCTGGTGGAAAACTAAGGAACAAGGCTTAGTGGTTAGCAGACTGATGTCCTGTGCGTGGCCAAATTGTGGGTGTTTGTTTCTCAGGGGATGACATTGGGTTCAATACTGTCTTGTTTTTTTCTATGAACAGTCTGACGAAGGGGTGGAGGCCATTCTCAGCAGCTGTGTGGATGATTGCACATTGCAGGCAGCCTTCAACACACTGGGTGGTCAAACTGCAGCAGAGGCTCCTCAGTGGCAGGGTTGACTGAAGAGTCATTTGGAGAACCTCCTCTTGCTAAGGAAGTTCAGTGGATTCCTCTGTACTTCATGTTTGAGGTGGCGGTGTACAAGTGTGCAGGGCAGGAGTAGAAAAGAAACATTGGAGGTTACATGTAGATCATAGGTTTAAAATGCAGTATGTTTTATATATGTGGCAAGCTGAAAACGTGGCAGTGTTTATGTAGGATTTACTTGAGGTTAGGCTGGACAGACACATCACAAATTGAATGAAAATACCATAAGCAAAAAAACAGAAAACACCACCCTGTTGATTCAGTCTGTGCTCTGTGAAATGCCTTATTCAGTTAACCAAAGGCTGTTCTGGGTAATGGCATGTTATCTTAAGTTATATGGTTAACCAAAAAGGAGTACTGAAAGAATGTAGAATACCAAAACTGCCCCTTACCACACACACTTAGAAACCTAACCCAAAACCTAGCCCAAAACCTAGCAAAGCCAAAGAACCGGGAGAAAGAAAATAAAACACATTAACTGGTTTATATGGAGACTTGTGAGATTGATTTCCATGATAAATTTGGAGTTGTCCCTTCTACACAGAAAACCTACTTCAAGCTTGTACCTGAGTAAGCAGGTTGATCTGTAGCTTTCAGATCTGGAGCCGGCCTTGTTCTAGATCCACATTTGCATCTGAGCCACTCAAACAGCAGAGGCCCCAGTGAGAGCTGAGAAAGTGAGCATATTTCAGTAGACCTTGTTAATTCACAGGTTATATATAGTATATCCAGCGATGGTAGTTGACCATTAGGAAATGGGGAAACTTGACATGGAGTTTGAAGTGATCTGGTCAATGTCATAGAATGAAACCAGATCTCAGCATTTTACAGCTATTATGCTTATATATTTGCAGATCATTTTTAATGCAGTTTGTCAATCAATGTATGCCAAACAGGAGTTTCCTGTTGGCATTGCCTGGGAAGCCATTTAAAAGCCATTTGGAGCAATTTTGCTCCACCAACCTGGCATAGAGGTGGAGTGCTGAGGTGAGGCTTTAATCCCAGATACTTGGAAATCCCATTTCTAAGTAATGGTGGTTTTGTGGGTACATACAACTCCTGTGAGAGGCTTTGAGGAGGTTACAAGCAGACGTCAGCCTTTGGCATCTATCCCTTCTGGGACAGGAGAGGGCTGTGGTTAGGGCTGTGATTTACAGAACCATGCAAGTGCCCCTTGCATAGCTCACATGGATTCAGAGGAGCAAGTCATTTTTAAGATAGACACCCCACTTTAGGGAGTTTTACTAAAGCAGCTTGAGGCACTAACAAATTATTGTTCATTTCTAAAACCAGAAGACAAAAACAAACAAACAAACAAACAAAAACACTTTTTGTGAACAAGAAAATTATTTGCTTTAAGTAGGACTTTAATTCAGAAATATTATTTTATAGAGTGTTCTTTATAAAAGGCAAACAATGCATGTGCACAGTCCATACCAACATGCAATGCCTGGACCTGGCCTCTGTTGTCCATCCAACTGTTTGTATGTATCTGTTCTCTCCCTTCTCTGTTGTAGGAACCTTACTGTTCGTGCAGTAATTTTCACAGCATGATGAGATGTTATTTGTAGGAAAACCCATTTAGCTACTACTTTAGGATAATTTAAAGGTCAAGAAACAGCTTTTAATTTCATGTTTCTAAGGAACATGATCAGAATCATCAATCCAATCTTTTAAAACAGAACCTTATAGTTAAGATGCCACCTGGCAGCTATATACGAAGACTATTCTAAAAGTATAAGAAATACAGATTTATATGAACTTACATATGTTTTGTTATAAAGTATGATATATTTCACACATTTTTATTATGACCAAAGCTTGAAATGAGAACATGCAAAAGTTGGAGGCACTGGAAACATCTCTACACCCACTTAGAATTAATATTAACAGTCCTTAAAAGAGAAAGCAGTGTGTCTAACCCAAGAATTAAATTCATATTCCTACCCACTTGTGTTCTTTAACAGAAAGAAATACAGAAAACGGATTGCCTAAACATGTATAATCTCTTGTTTGAGATCTGGCAGCAAAAGGAAAGCAAGCTTACAAAGCTGTGAAGCACAGTGATACATCATAAGAACTCTTTACAAGAAGCTTACAACACGTTTTAATATCTATACAATCTCTTTAATAAATTGAATTTCCACTGGTTGTTTACAGGTTTCAGTGCTGCTGTCATCTCATCCATTCTTCCTAAGACATTGTGCTTATGTAAATAAGGATTAGTTGGCAAGGTTAATTATAGTAAGAGAAAAATTGCTGTTGAACTTGGGAAGAAACTGACGTCTAGAGAATGCCTGTTTGCTGCCTTCTGCTCACAGTTCTATGGCAGTTTTAATTAGACCTCGGATATTCCCGAACTGTGTTTTCTGAAGGTGTTGTACATGATAGAGGGATGCAAACTGCTGGGTACCAGAGGAGGGATCACTGAGACAGCAAAAAATAGTTTTAATTTCAAAGGAAAGCGTAATAGTTGAACAAAATAAGGTGTCCACTCTACAAAATGTTGCTATACCACGTGGATTATCATGTCTGTCTTTATGGGAAACTTTTATTCTATTGATGATTAAGCCAGAAATCCTTGCCTATTTTGGCTCCACTTCAAGTATAGCTACACATCTTCCTGTCGTAGATCTCTATCAGACTGGAGAAAAAGACTGCAAAGGAGCACATGTGATAGGAGTGCACGAGCGGGTGGTGGGTTGGGGTTTTCCTGTGCTGCACATCTGTAATCACCCCAAGTACCCACTGCGGGCACTCTACCTGAGTAAGGAGAGCACAATCAGGGCTACACACCATTGGTAAAGGTGTCCTGAAATTGTTGAAAGCAAATTAGTTGTCATTCCTGCACAAAGGCATGAACGTGCTCTTTCAGAGGTATTCTTATGTGGCAGTCAAGGGAGCACTAGTGAAGCTTTTAGGATAAAGGTTGGATTTTGGTGGGACTGTGTGATTAAAAGAGGCACATCTGCGCTGCGTGAAAAACATTCTCTGTAGGAGTAGGCAGAAAAATAGAAATGTGCCTTCATCAAAAACTCAGGTGGTCAATCTGTGTTTTAGAGATGCAATCTATTCCAGTCTGGACTAACTGAAATATTATTTTTTAATTTCTTTTTGAATGTGTTTTGAAAAACAAACAACCACACACCATGTTTTCAAAGCATGTTCTGATCCCACCAACTGTTGTTACAGATCAGACAATTGGTGAAACACCCCTCAGACAGTCGCAGTTTATACACTAACAGGCAAACCCTGTCAAACACATCCTCCTTGGTGGGTGGCTGTGTTTAACCTTCAAAGGTGGAGATTCCTCAGGGAATCTGTTCCAGTGCTGTATTAACCCTACCAAGTACTGTATTAACCTTACTACTAGCTTCCGTAATAGTAACATGATTTTCCTTGCTATAATTGAAAACGATTATTTTTAATATTGTCTGCCATGTACATGAAATAAACTACTACTTTTTCTCTCTCCCAAGCTATGTATGTATCTAAGGACTGCCGTCCTTTTCCCAGTCTCCCTTTTCTTCAGGTTAAACTATGTTAGACCGCTTGATCCTTCCTCCTCAGCCACATTTTCCAGTACTCCAGCTACTGTCTTTGCTTCTCAAGACTCCAGTTGGTGGCCCATGTCTTCAGGATAAGACCTTCCGTGTTGTGCCCCAAAACTGGGAGAAATGTCAGCTGAAACAAGGCCGGTACTGAGCTGAAGGATTAAGTTGTGCAGTGCTTAGTCCATCCTCCTTCCCGTACCGTCCATCCTGAGGGGCCTCCCTGGGAGAGGGATGCTCAGGACTCACACAAAGCAGGGTTGGGAATCTGGAAATATTTTAATGCCCTTTGAAATTAGACAGGGATTGTGCAACGCTGCTGCTGTAAGCCATCAGTGGCTTACTTGGGGAGTGAGTGCCATCTGGAGGTCAGGGAGCACGGAGCTCTGTGTGCCTTCACGACGAAAACCAGAATCCCTTTGCTTTTTTTTGAATGAGTTGTTCTTACACGAACAGGAGCTTGAGCCTGAGAGAGACGGGGCATCTGCCACCCTTTGTGGACTTGGTGACCCACAGCAAGAGTTGGAGCTGCTCAGTGTATCTCAGAGTAAGGCATGCAAGTGTAGTAATTTTCAATATTACACAACCACCAATAAATATTTAGCCTTTGAGTAGCCTGTACAGTTTTTGGAAGAAGCTCTGGACAACACAAGGACAAGGAAAGGCTTGCTCTGCTCTCCACTCTCCCACTTTCAGACATTTTTGAAATTTCCTGCTGCAGTCATCTGCTCTCAAGACTGAAGAAAGCATCTTAGCTGAACATGGTGGTGTTTTTTGTTTTGGTTTGGTTTTAAGTGTATGTTTCCATTTTCTGTGTGTGAACATGGTTGTTTACTACAGTTGGATATTCATGTCTGCAGAGTGGAATCAGCCCTTGCATGGGCTGCTTTCATGCCATCATCTTCCTTATCCTGCAGGTAGCTAAGCTGTCATCCTGAAAGCCTTTGTCCTCCAGTTCTCAGACACTGAAGATGCCAGGATATGACTTGCTGTGGGCTACAACCCATCTCTCCTTTCTACAGTGGCTTTTGTTTTATTCCAGAGACCACCTGAACATTGCCAATGATCACACTGATCCCTACCACTTCTTGTGCCTGTCAACTGCCTTCTGCTGCTAAAGTCTAACCTCAAAAATAAACAGTCTTGGCTGCAAGGTGTAAGTAAACACAGCTCCACCTCAGCTAAGTGTGAGATTGCAGCCTGTAGTATCAGGGCAATGCTAGTGGCTTCTGCGTTGGTCTCCACCTACGCAGGGCTGAGCATGGTCCTACAGAAGCTACATGCACCCTGTGAAGGCAGGCACTCTATGTGTGTTCCCCATGCTCTGCTGATTGTGTTTTTTTCCCTGAAAAAACGTTGCATCTATGTCATGAAGATGCTCTAGTGAGCAGGCTTTAGGTATTTTGTCGATTTAGATGGTGGTTTCCCTGGGCAACCACAGATTTTAGGAACTACAAACCTGCTAAATTCAAGGCTGATGATCAAAAGCGCGTAAGGCAGGTTGCTGAGCAGCATGCCTTCAGAGCAAAATGTAAAAGCCTGCTTCCTGGTCACTGAGTTTCCATCAGCTAAACAAGGAAAAAAAAAAAAAAAAAAGTAGCAAAAGGGAATGTGAGAGCATAGGGGAGAAACAGCAAATACAAAGGAAAAAAAAAATGAAAACAAGTCTGAAAAAAAAAAAATTGATCCCCCTTCCTCAGCAGGGAGTGTTGAAAAAGCACAGAACGTCTTACATGCCTTAAATTTTGCTCTTTAGAGCAAGCTTAAACATGCAAGTGGCAGGCTGACGAATCCTTGGGTAAATACATGAAATGTAACAACCTGCTGTGTTTTATTGCCCGGACTTTCAGAATTTGAAGTATGTTGTTTATGCTGTGACTCATCTGAGCTGGTCTCTGTTGATTGTTTCTTTTCAGGAGGTAAAAATTCAGGAAGAGTTTCAGAAGAGCCCTTTGGCTCTAATCTTTCTGATGTTAGTAGCAAAGTTATTGTGGGCTTGCATGGTAAGAAGGATGAGATCTGTGGTCCTGACTCACTCTGTATGGCTGTTAGACACTAGAACGGGCTGCCCAGGGAAGTGGTGGAGTCACCATCCCTGGAAGTCTTTAAAAGACGTTTAGATGTAGAGCTTAGGGATATGGTTTAGTGGGGACTGTTAGCGTTAGGTCAGAGGTTAGACTCGATGATCTTGAGGTCTCTTCCAACCTAGAAATTCTGTGATTCTGTGATTCTGAGTAACCCCAAGTCTGAAGAGGACAGTCTCCATAGGCATTGCTGAATGACATCCATCTTAGTTCTTGAAAAAGTTCCATGCTAGACAGTACTTCTGGTCTCTCTGAGAGAGAAAAAAAAAAAAAAAAAAAAAAAAAAAAAAAAAGGATTTTGTTACCTGCTAATTTCAGTGTTGTGGAGTCTGAAAGAGGCCTGCTAGGTAGATCTCTTTGACTTGCTTTGTTACTAGTATTTTTACTTGAGGTATTAGGAAGGCTGGAGGTCATCCTCAAGTTTCCTCTTTCGTGCTCCACTGCTGAAGAAGTAATCCATGTTTACCAGCATCTTGCCAAGTTCAGTATTCATTCTACTGCCAATGTTCTGGTTGGTGGAGTTGGGAACTTTGTTTGAAAACACAGATATATAATCTGGCAGAGGCTTGTGTTCCTTTTTATTACCCTGAATGAAACAAAGACCATTAATGCTAAAGTTTTCGGAGTTACATCCTTTGCTTGTTATAAAAATCCAAGTTACTGAGATTATTAGTAATATCAGCTCTTTTGCTTTTGAAAACAGAGTTTAGATGTACTTAAAATATAATGCTTACTGAATGTACATGAAAGTGTTGCAAAAATGCAGTAAAATGATTATTTTTCTCTATCCTCTTTCATGGGAGTAAGATAACACAGGGAAATGAATCATTTTTAAATATGTTGCATGAAATGTCAGGAGAGAAAGAATTTAGCCTGCTCTGGAATGGTTATGATGTGGGAGGTTTTTTGTTTCATTTTTAGTAAGTGGCTTGGGTTTTGGCATGATGTCATCATCTCACAAACTTTTCCTAGGAAGTTGGTTCTTCTGGCACTTTCTGTGTATGGAGAAATATTTTTGAAATATTTCAACAATTATTCAATATTATAATGTTGAAACAGACTGAACACAAACACAAACTGTCTTCCTTTTTAGCAGATGAATGGTATCTCAGCTGTCTTTTATTTTCCTAAAGATTTTAGTATTAAAGCATTTGCCACTTATGCCCAAGTATTCCCTGATTTAAAGCATTAGCCTACTTCAAATTGATGCAAGCTAGAAGGATCCTGGTTACAGGTAGGTGTTTGTTTGAAACTTACCATTTGGTCGTAGTCCTTTAGGAAACTCCAGTTCTGGTACCTTGGAATAGAAGTAAAAAATGCAGTTTTAATTTTTCTGTCTCTGTTGGTCATATCTGAATGCCTATTTATCTGTTCAATTAAATACTTAAAGCCAATTCTTACACATGCAAACTCTTTGTATCCAAACCTGTGTTTTCTGTAGTGAAGCCCAGGGTTTTCTTTATTCACATAGTGTACCTGCACTATGTTAGGAGTAGTTTTATTGCTAGAGGAAGACAAGGCTAGCATGTCCACGATGTATTCCTTGTGTAAATGCAGATAAATCTGCAAAGTCTTGGGTCACTCTAGCAAATTTATGTCTCATGCCTTAAATAAGACAGAGCTTCGTATTTTTTAATTGACCAATATTCTGCTGGCAGAAGTCCCTGGTAGGAATTTCCAGAGCTATATTTGCAGCAGGCAAGTACCTGCTGGAGTATTTTTGTGCAGATAGGTATCTGTGCTAGGAGCAAAGTGAGGAGCCAGAAGACCTGAGTTTTGCTCCTCAGACTTGTTCTACACCTGGTGTGTGACTACAGGGCAAGCCCTCTGATTTTCTTGTCCTTTGCTCTCTCTGGCCAGAAATGAAGAAAACTGTTCTTCACCTGCTATTGTAAAAGTGCTGTGAGGTCAATAGAGGAAGCAGTTAATCTACTGCTGTATTTGGGACTATAAAGGGCTCAAGGGACACCTCAGCTGACTGAGCTGCTTACTGGTGTCTATGCAGTGCTTCATCTGAGCTCATGGTGCTGAAGCTGCACAGCCTTCTGAGTTGAGCTCTCGTATACAGCACAGCCTTGTACCTCATGGACACAGTGGCCTTGGGTTTCTGTGCTATGCTCCCCTGTCCTGTACAGATATACCCAAAGAGCAAATAAAAGCTAATTTACGATTGTTATGCTTATTATTATAACTTTTTGTATACCAGCACAGCACAGGGGGCCCAGATTTATTTATTTTGCTATGTCAGGCACTCTGTAAAAGTGCCAGACTTGGATGTTACTCTTGGGACTGCTGTTCCCAGCTTGGGACTACACTGTGGTGATAAGTACTGAGAAATGTTTGGGTCTGTGCCATTTACCTATACCCACTTCGGGTCAGACCACCAACATGTAGCAAGCCTTGGTTTGGGGATGGGGATGTGGAGCTGAAAGACTTTTCCCTGCAGGCTGTAGTGTGTGGAGTCTGATGAAGCCAGCTGAGGTGGCTTTAGGCACCTGTCCACATACCCTACCCCTCTACAGGAGCCCTGTTGCTAAGAATGGAGAGCAGGGCATGCTTCAGGTTTATGATGTGTTAAGTACACATGAAAGTAGGTTTGCACTAACATCCATGCCTGTGAACCCCAGCAGAGGTGCAGGCAGAGCATCCCTCCTGCTGCCTGTGCTCTGGAAGGGACATGGAGCATACTGGGCCCACTGGGAGAGGGCCTGGTGCACAACTGGGAGAGAGTGGCATTGCCTCCACAGCCCTGCGTGTGCATGAACCAGCCTTTCCTTCAGGTAAAAGGAGATGGACAAGAGTGTAAAAACACCTCTGGAGAGACCAACCCTACTATCTGCATTTCCTCCAGAAGGGTGAGGGGGGCAGGGCTGTTCAGATGGTTTCGTTTCCCTTCCTAAAAACATCCTGGAAGCAATGTGCTTCACCCTTTTGTTTTATCTGCTTGGCTACTGCATAGACACAGCCAGAGCTGGCTGTGCTTTCACCAAGGATATTCTTCTAATAAGCGTGTCCATGTTGTGTACAGAACCACGAACATAACAGACAAGTTATGTGGCAGAGGCACAGAGGCAGGGAGGATGTTAATTTCTGGTTCCTCCAGGTAGCTGCTGTATACACGAATGCATGCCGTTCAGCCTGCTGAAACACTACAATAATGGGATTTGCCTGTCTGCACATGGCTCGTGGGGCATGCTCAGGGATTTCCAGGCTGGGAATACAGAGTCGTGTTTTGGCAGAACACTCTGTTCAACTTCCATTTCAGCCACTTCCAAGAATATGAGAAGTGGCGATAATATCAGCATGTCTGCAATAAATTATAAAGGTTGGCACATTTATATAATCATCATGAAGATCTCTATTAAGCTAAAAGATATTAAACATGCAGCTCTTTGCATCTCTTTTTTGGCTTAAGCCTGGTGTGTCAGGAGGTATTAGCATAGATTCTGTCCAGCGAAGAATAACAGAGATGATGTAGCCTTAGAAAGAAAGGTGCTAGGGTCTGATCCAAAGTCCCTGCAGAAGAAAAATTCCTTTGATAGCTTAGGCTTTGAATCAAGCCCTAGGACTGTCAGGGAGCACCAGTACCACTGTCAGAATGAGTAGGAGAGGAGTGAACTGGAAAAAGTGACTTACCAGATTTTTCTTCCTCTCTGTTCAGCCTCCACAGCCTCCCTCCAGATCTTGTCCTGTTGGACCTGGTCCTGCTGCAGTGCTGCCTGCTCATCCGCCCTGCTCCGAGCAGCTGTTTGTGCAAGTACAGGTCTTCCAGGCTGGGTGCTGCCACGAGACAGGGATGGAGCTGAGGCTGCTTGCCCCAGAGGTGTGGTTGCTGCTTGCCAGGACCTAGTCAAGGTGTTCCTCCTGAATCCAGAACCCTTTCCCAACACATCCATTTTGAGACTCACTCTATCCCCAGTATTATTAGGTATGTTGGGACTGTCAGGAAGTTTAAACCTGCTATTATTTGTGCTTTCAGAGCTCCTCCTCTCCCAGCATTTTCTTTTAGCTGCTGATCTGGGGTGCTTTAAGAAAATGAACATTGATGCCAGCACTGACAGGCAGTGCTTGGCATTGTTTCGCTTCCCTGTTACTTAATGATCATTTCCTACTGCTTTACATTGCTTCATTGCCTGAAGGATGAAGAAGTTTTCATGGTAACAACAATTTGATAAGAAATAATTGCTCCTGAAAGCCATCAGTAAGCAGCAAACTCTCAGCCTAGGAGGCAGTGAATGCTGCTGGCAGCTGAGACCACCCTATGCTCAAACTCTGCAGAGCAATAAAGCCTGGTTTAGTGCAAAGCATGCTGTGGAGCTGAGTTTGTCAGGAGCACTTTTGTTGTAGTTCTGTAGCAGAAGCAAAATCTCCCGAAAGCTGCTGGTTTCCCTGTTGTGTTTACTGTCTCCACTGGAAACAGCCTGCCCTGTGAATATTCACAAGAAAGGGAGCCCAGCCCCAGTGTGGACAGCTGCTGGGGCCTTGCAGTCTGTTTGAGGCGGAGTTTGTTTGTTTAAAATAAGATGCTTCGATGAATCTGTGCTTTAAATCTTGTTATTTTATATATATATAAAAAATGAGCAGCCACAGATCATGAAAAGCCCTTTTAAAGTACTTAGAGATTTCTGCAGAAGACATTAAGCAACTGTGGGAAGTGCTTTTCAAGTAACTTTAAAGGGTCATTAGTACACAAAGTGAGAATTTTCAAAACTGTGTCCAAAATGTCAGTTTGCCTTTACAGTCAGCCTGCTGGTCTTCCATGGTATGCAGTCACTTCTTCAAGTATTTGTGACCTAGCAGGAAAGCGGGGTATTTTAAGTATAAATTTCCTCTCAAATTCTTGACTGACTTGTTTTTGAGTAATGTGGGTTAGCTCCAGATGAATTCTAGCGTCTTGCTTCATCTTGCTGGTAAATGCTAATGAACTTAAATCGGTTATTTATTTTTTTTTTTTTTTCAGTTATGTTTACTTGGGGTATTGGAAAATACATGCCAAATTTGGCAAATAATTTATTTTAAAATAATAATAACTATAAAACAATCCAAACGTTTCATGTGGACATTTCTGAGCAAGACTTATTTCTGTATTTGGAAACCTTGCCCTTGAAAATCGCAGTAACATAACTTAAGAAGAGAGAAAGAAGTTTGCCTCAAAACAAAATGTTTGTCCCAGGGTCCTCTCCAAGTTGGAGCACGGGCAGCCAGTTAAAGAATTAGACTTTAGCAGCATCTATCTGCTTTAAAAGGAAGCTGAGGGGCGCTTGGATGACCCAATTCATTAATCAATGCACATGGGATTTTAGCCCCTGATCAGGTCCGGAAAGGATCTGAATGGGAAGGCTAAATGCTTTTTCATTCTTGTTTACAAAGTTCTTGTGTTATTTTTTTTTCTAACCTTTCAAGTAATTTTCTGCAAATTAAACATAAAAATAAGCTAAAAATTACTATCAGGCCGAGTACATAGTTTACAAACATCCTGTTCCAGTTGTTTCTCTGGATAGGATAGATGGGAATTGGATCATAGCTATTTATTTTATTAATATTATAATACTATGCCTTTAAAATGCAGCTGCTGTTCCAAAAACAGACTGCTAAGAGCAAATATTTTAAAAACTATCCCGTCTTCTACTGGGACCAAAAGTCATTAAGGGAATGGTGCATAAAGGGAAAGTACATCGAGGGGAGGGTAAGGGGGACATTTCTGGGGATAGCTTACTGGATATATCTTTAGCCCATTTAGGCCATGGATTAACAGCTCAGCAGCTCTGCAGATATTGAACTGTTTCGCCTAACATTGTCATCTGCTGGTTTAGCATTTTATTGTTTATAAAGAAGAATTTGGGGCTTTTAAAGAGAGAACTCATTTGAGTTGATAAAACTGATCTACTGTGTACTTCTTTTCATCCTGTGGTAGAAAAGGTTAATGTTTGTTGTGGCTTCATGTCATATGAATCTATGTAAATTGATTACAGCATCTTTATTTTTTTCTGCTTGGGGGCACGAAACTGAAAAAAGTCCCTAATGAGTGTCAGTGTAGGAAATGGCGCCTTTGATTAGGAGTTTATTTTGGGATCAGTTTGTCTGATGAGCAGTGTCAGCATTCATTATACTGAGGGAGAACCTAACTGAGGTTATTCCTTTGTGGCTACCAGACAGGTGATGATACACGCTGCAAATTTGTCTGTGAAAAATATGTTAGTTCCCCCCAAAAAAGAAAAAAATGTTTGATAAGCTTTTTATGAAAAAAAAAAAAAAAAGGTTCAGGTGTTTTGATAAACCATTTTCATATGACCACAAGAGGGTATTGCAGTATAAGTTATGCAAGACTTGAGCTAATGTTTGACTTTAATATGCACTACCTTATTTTTAAAATATAAATTTTTCAAAATCAATCATTTAAATTAACCAATAGTTATAAAAACAGACTATTTATGCCAGTATTTGATACTCAGATCCAGAGGCAAATTCTGAGCTGTGTTTTCTAAAAATTGCCTTTTTTTTTTTTTTAAAAGTGAACTTTTCTGCAAAAATTTTGTCTTCTAAACTTTACGGACAGCATTACCAAATGTACACACCATGTTTTGTACAGGTCAGACCATGGAAGAGGGAGCTGGAAGGATGTCTGGATTCTCCTGTCCACAGATCTATTGATAGTTTAGGAGAAATGATGTGGCATGCCTGCCTGTCTCTCAGCAAACTTACCTAGAAAAGAAGAAACATCACAGCCATATCACATTATTTGTGAAGAGCAAATTTCTGAGAGGTGTGATTAGCTTGTGATGTGATGGACAGCAAAGTTTGTTGGTGGTGGTGGTTTTATTTTGTGTAAGACATTTTGTGTTTGATGGGAAATGCTTGCAGAGATCTAGGAAACACAAGTGGCGTAAACAAGAGGCAGGAGCAGGATCATCAGCTGGAGGAGAGGGTGGCTCTCTGGACGCCAGCTTCGAAGACTGCTTCACCATTTGGAAAGATTGCCGCTTCACCCTCAGGATGGAAACCCGGTGTCAGTCTTTGGGTACGAACAGTGCTTCCTGTCTCTGAATAGTAATGTTTGCAAAAATCCTACAAACAGCTTCAGAGTAAAGCCCCTTTTAAATGAAGTCTATGTAGCCACCTGGTTAAAGGCCTCATACGCTGTTAAATTGTACCGTAGCTTGTACAAAAGTATAAACTTCTTCGCTGTAATGAAGGTCTGCTGAGAGAGCCTGACAAGTTTAGAGTCTGTTGCGTCGGCAGCTTACAAATACCACAGAGGGAACGTCTGCTTCCTGTGACACAGAGTCTGACACTTCAAAATAAAATCAAAGCTGTAATGCAGACTGCAAGAAATCTGTATCTGGAACCTGGATTTTTTTCCCTCTTTCTTTTAGTATAAATTCAAATGTTACGAAATATGGTAGTTACTGATAGGCAATTATTTGAAACAAACAAAAAGAAATACTTGTTTTTAAAAATGTTATTTACTAGAAAAAATAATAGTGGCTATTCCATACAATATGCAGGCCTGTTAGTTTCTGTATGGGTTATGTCAAATACAAACGATAGTTGAAATTGAAGATGGAAGCAGTATAACTTTACAATATGGAAAATCCATATTCTGGTACATTTTCCCCAGTATTCTGCCGCCAAGACTGATAGTCATATAAAGTTGGAAGGCACCATTAAAATCTTCTCCTTAAATCTGCCAGGTGAATGCAGCGGTGGGATTTCAGGTAGGGAGTGCTGAAGGGTTGCTCTGTGAGTAGAAACATTTAGAATTATATGTTCCAGGAGAAAGAAGCAAAAAAGGGAGGAATGTTCCTCTCTGGCTGAGTCTTATCAGTGTTTTCTTATCAGTGTTTTCAGGTGGTATTTCACGTGATTTCAGCCTTGGAGGGTAGATCTTGTGAAGAAGTACAAAATTGCCCTGGATGGCCAAAATTATCTTCAGAATTCAGTTTGAATTGTTAAAGTCACATTCTCACCACAGCAGGGAGCTCTTGTAATTGTGCAGTAGAACTTGGCTTTATTCTGTTTATTCTTTTTTTTTTTTTTTTTTTCACAGTTCATTAACAGTTCTAATGTATATATATAGAATACACATTTTTATATGTATATATATATATAAATGTATTTTATACTTAAAAAGTGATTAAGTACTCCTGAAAAGCCAGCACTTCATAATTCTTTAGTACCTGAGGCAACAATCTTGACCTCAGGAGTTTGGCAGAGCTCTACTTTTCTCTGACCCTGTGCTCTGTGGAATGCATCTAGGAACAGTTAATCCCAGTTTCCAGGTCAGTTTATAACAGTGAGGAAAAGCTGCGTTGCAAATACTACAGAGACTGAGTCTTCTCTCTCTGTTACCTGGTGCACTGTAGGACTTACAGAAGTATTTTATAGTGAATTATAATGTTCCAGATGTGTATGACATTAAAATAATGTTCAAGATGCTTTTCAGTTCTTATTTTGATTCTTCTCTGGACCCTGGCTGTATCCTCCAGTAGCTAAGAGTATATTTACTAGTCTACACTTTAATACACTGTTTCATTTATATCTGCTCACCATATTCATTCAAAGGGACATTGACTTTCTGTTTTGATATAAGATACCAAAAATTCTCTTCTACAAGATACACAAATTCTCTGCAAGTTAGGCAGTTTTCAAATCTGGATGCCTGAAATTTGTTTTGCATTTTGACTCCAGATATTAAAAGAAAGGCTCCTGGTTTTTCCTAATATTTATAAGTTCCGTTGGCTGAAAATTGCACTACTTCCCTTTTGTTTATTCAAGGTAAGTGTCAGAGCCTGAAACTGGGAAGCCTTGTCTGAACATGTCAATCACACACTTTATCTGTTTTTCAGCAGAGCTTTTGCCATCTTCACAGCAGGTTTCTATTAATGTAGATTTCCTTCTTGCAAGTACCAGCCAATGTTAAACCACACATTAGGCTCATGTGTGGCCAACTCTTTCCATTAGGGATTCAAAGGAGGTTCTTCCTAGAGGCAGGATATTTGCATAACTGGGTATAGTGGTTTTTGTTTGTTTGTTTTTTTTGTTGATTTTTTTTTTTTTTTCTTTGATTCCCTAGGACCTGGCGACAAGTTTCCTGAGATCACAGGAGGATTCAGGTGACCTCAGGAGGTCTGTATCAGGACTACGAGATGAGACCAGCTCAGGGCTTTATGCAGTTGGTCTTGAAAGCCTCCAAGGATGGAGACTGCACAACCACGGTGCGTAAATGTGCTTCACTGCTTGACTGTCCTCATGGTGAAGTTTTACCTTACATGTAGTCAGAAGCATTCTTGTTTCAGCTTGTACCTGTTGTTTTTCGTTCTCCCACCATGTCTTGCTGTAAGTAGCCTGGCTCTATCCTTTCAGTAGCCTCCCTTTTCTGTCCCTGCCTGACTTGACCACATCTTGCTGCTCATGCCCAGTAAGAGAAACAATCTGGGGGACTTAGAAAGGCAAGTGACAGTGTACAGGGAAAACACAGTCAGTTTTGCCGTGTTTTTCTTGGATCACCTGTGCTGGTTTGTTGTTCAGTTCAGCCTCATTCATTCTAGGCCTGAAGAGAGTTTCTTTGTTTTGCTGTGATGGTGGAAACTTTTGTTCGCTAAAGTTTTGGCAGCCAAAACAGTGTGAAATCTTCCAGGATGTGTTTGGAGCTTCATATTTTTAGTTCGATTGGGTAATAGTTTGTGTGACCATACTTAAACAGTAAGGCAAAACCGAAAGGAAAACAGCTGTGTCCCAGGACCTTATGGCCAGAGCAACCAAATGGAGTTGGAACAGCTTTCAGGTGGGACTTCTGTTGGAACAGGTGCCTCATTAAAGATCTTTTTATGGTTTTATGGAGAAGAATGGGAGCCTGGCTGTTAAGGATGGGTTGTGTTCTGGTTTTCAGGATAGGTCCCTGTGTTTAGGAATCCTTTTCCTAAGATTACTGAAACAAGGTATGAATGAACTGGCCTCCTGAATGCTTAAAATGAGCTTCCAAAGCAGGAGCAGACAGCTAGGCAATCAACAACACAGTTGCAGAATTAGGATAAAACCCTACTTTCTTACAACTCGACTAGTTAATGGGAAAATATCAAGACCTTCTCCTACTACTTTTTTTGTGTGAATTATCCCCATAACCTGCACATGTGCAGTAAGAGGACTGTATGCCTCTCTGAAAATCCAGCTTTGATCACAGCACTGACCTAAGTGCATCTCAGCCTTTTCCAGGTAGACATCCTGGAAACCTTTCAGCAAAACAGTGATTTCTCAAAGACTGTTGACCTGTTCAACCTGAAATATTTCATCTGAAATATAATGAGCTCAGTGAATCTTGGATGAACGAGAAGCAGGGTTTCCAAAATGCTTCCAGGATCTGGAGCACCAGGACAGAGACAGAGTAAAACCAGCTCAAATAATTTTATCGTAATGCACATTATTTTCTGTTATTGATTTGTCATTTAAAAGAGGACTTACTCATAAGTAAAGGGAGAAGTTGGGTGGCAGTTTGTAAAAGAAATCATTTAAATTTCCAATCCTATGCTGGAGGAAAGTATGTGCTTTTTATCCTCTAATTGTTACAGTTTATATTCTTAATCCCAGCCATTTTTCTTTTGTAAGAGTTTTGTTCATATACTTGAATCCATCAGTTGGAGGATTAAGGTTGTTTCTCAACTGCCTTTTCTTAAATCAGATTATAAAAAAAAAACAAACAAAAAAAACACCTATGCCATTAGTGTCAAATGAAAAGCAGCCATGCTCTTGCACTTGCAGTAAGAGAGCAGTTTATGTGAGCTGAACATTTTTCCTAATTAATGAGAATATAATTTCTGGAAGTATCCTGCTCTTAGCTCTGTAGTTACAGTGGTACCATACTGTTGCAAAAGGCCAATATGGGGATTTCTCAACAAGCGTCTCTGCTAGCTGTTCTGTTCTGGGGCCTTTCTGGGCCGAAGCACTCTGGGGCTGTGACGCACGTCCAGGCTTAGTAGAGCTGAGCTGCAATCCCAAGCTTAATGCAACTGGCATCAGGTACTCAGAGCCATGTTAAAGGGTTGAGACTGCTGCAGATTGTTAAAACTGTGCTGTATCTCTTTGGTCTCTGCTTTTTTCCATTCCTCCAGAGTCTGATCAGCTTGGCAGAACGTGGATGTCCACCTGGGCTGCACAGCTCAACCCACACAGACCTACAACTTTGCAAGAGTATGAGAAACAACAACAGCAAAGCAGACTTTGCAAGGTCTTTCTTCCTTCTAAAGCTTTTCTCACAGAAGACAGATTAAAATACCATTTCTAACCTAAAAAAAAATAAGAGTTTAACTTGCTTTTCTACCTACCTTTGTTTATGGTGAGTGTTCAAGTTCACTTTAGAATAAGGACTTCTCAGCGCCATGGTGTGTACTTTATACTTTGTTTTATGGACTCTGCTATTGGTGCTGTTGTTAGCCTGGAGAAGTAAATAGACTTCGAGCATAAGATCACACCATAGCAACCCTCAGCTTCTGTTTACAGTTCAAATAAACGTCTGTGCCATAGAAATTTATGTTCGGAGGAATTTTCTAAGCTGGTATGCTAATTGGTTTATTAACAAAATGATTAATGCAGATAAGTTGAAGACAAATGTGCCCTCAATATTTAAATGGTGAATCATTTCATTATTTGAAAGCTGTCAGTAAATAACACATCACAGCCACGCAGTATTTTTTGACTTATTTATCATAGTAGAAAGTGCACGACAGTTCTGAGGGAGATTCATGAAAGCACTCAGCAGAATATGGGTTGTCCCATTAAAATCTGTATTAAAACTTTGTTTCTTTAATGGGAGCACCTCTTTGCATGTTTTGAAAACTTGAGCTTGTCAGTTTATAATTTTCACACCTTTTGGTTAAAAAGAAATAGCTCTTATGTAAGCAAAACTTATATTGACTGTTGAACATTTTTTTCTGGAGAAAAGCTAGTGGAATAAGTGATGCGCTGCTCTGAAAATCCCAGCTGCAGGAGGTTTCGGCCTTTAAAGGTTATGCCAGGAAATGACTTTTTTTTTTTTTTTATTCCTTTCTGCAACTGATACTAAGACATCATTGCTAGCAGTTTTACTTTCTAATGTTCTAAAAAGCTTGTTTTAATGTTTTAAAAAGTAAAACTTTTAATGTTTTAATGTGCAAATGGCTAAACTTTTTATTCCTAAATGTAATCATTCCTGATAGATTTCCCCCATGCATGTCAGTCCTTCAGCTGACTTTTCATTATACTTGGCCAGTGGTGCAGAAAGGCCCCTTCCAACCCAAACTGTCCTGAGATTCAGTGATGGGTCAGCCTGGGATGGAGCCACCGATTTGGAAGTTGTTGTGTATGGTGAGACTCTCACTGTTTTTGGCATGGAGAGGGTGGTAAGAAGCCAATCAGTGTATTCTTACACAACGTGCTATATGCAGCAACGTGGCATTACATGGTGGGAAGTTTAAAATACCATTGAAGTAGCAAACCTGACATATATGGTCCTGAAATGAATCAGATGAAATGTCTCTCGTAGAACATTATTTTAGCTCTTCTGTGAAGGGTGAAGATTTGTAGGTCAGCAGCCACCCTTGAACTCATTCTGGACAGTATATGAAGGTCTATGTATATAGGAACTGGGGATCACCACATAGGATAAAGCTGCTCAGTAGAGGGGGATCACTTGGGTAGGGTTTCTGGGCCCCATCCATCTCTGTGCTGGTGAGGTGGGAAGCCCATGGGGCAGGATATGGGGCAGGCTGTGGGAGGCCTGGGGGAGGCAGGTAGGGAGGTGTTGGGGTAGCGTAGCAGCATGGGTGGTACGGGTTAGGATTTGGGGGATGCGTGTGGCCGTAAGAGGGTACCTCCTCCCCCTATAAAAATAATAACATATATATTTAAAAAATTGCCACAGACTATCACTGGAAATTGAATCGTGAAATCCAGAGGGAACTGATCCTCTCAGATCCTCCAGCGCGGTGCTTGCTTAGAGTCCGCCTGAAGCATGCACGGATCCAGATTTGTGCCTCTTCTCTCCCCACTTCCTTACACCATGTCAACATTACCTAGGTGAGGGAAAAGTCAGGTTTTTATATAGCACTTGCTGCTATAGAAACCACTGGCTCTGTAACGGCGTGTCCCGCGATGGAGGCGCTGCCAGCAGCAGCTCCAGGCTAGGAGCTGCCATAGCCGTGGCTGTCAGCCTGCAGCGTTTTAGATCACAAAAGGCTCACGAAACCTCGGGCTCAGCGAGGGGTTGTTTACGCTGGAAAAGAAATCCATAGCTTTGTAGTATACAGATTTATCTGCTATTTTGTGTCTGTCACAACTTGCAGACCACGTTAAGCCTCCGCTGGGCTGAATTACGGGTGTAGCTTCCCCCCGAAGGTCACTATCAGCCATCTCTGTTTCTCTTCAGTGGGAAAGAAAAGCCAGCGTTAAAGGAGATATATGAAAAGCATTATGCCTACTAAGCCATTCATGATAGCGTTAGGATAAGAAGCCTCTAAAATGACTGTAACTCTGATGAATATTTCTGAAGCCATAGGGAAATGGAGCTGTCAGCTATGAGCAGAGAAAAGCAATCTGGTATTGATCCTCAGGATCAATGGAGCAATCCTGCTAATGCTTATAATTCTCATTTCTGTCACTAGAAAACATACAGAACAAGAAGGGAAAAAAACAAATGTAGAACATCCCAAAGACATCGTGAAGTGCTGTCTGCTGAAAGTGAAACGGAGATTGGATTCATGAAGTGGATTAAACCAATAAATATGATTGCTTCTTTGGAGGCTACAAGATCTCTGGATGAAGAAGGAAGCTGCATTATTAAAATCCAAATTCTGGATATTGCATCTGAGACAATTATCTCACAGGGTTTTATCTGAGGAACCGATTTACAATTAAAAACTCTGAGGAGAACAAAAACCTGTGTGAAAGACACGGTACAAAATAAAGCTCTCTTTTCAATTATGAGGGTTAGTTCATCACTGAGTGTTAAGTAATGACTGAGTGTTAAGTAATTGTTATTACTTAACACTCTCAAGGTTAAGTAATTAGTTGGGCACCCTTTGACACTGGGGGTAGAGGGGTTGGGGGAGTCCCTAAATGTTTCTACAAGTGCTACAAGTGTTTTGTGGTGCTCCAAGCTGTTAGTTGCTCCAGTTGGCACCATCTTCCATCCCAATGAGACACTTTTAGATGCAGAGTACCTTTCCCTTCTATAATATTTCACTCACAGCAAGTTGGTCTTCATTTTGCTCCTCCCTTCTTCTGATGTCCTAAAATCATACCTAGAGGTATGTACCAAGTTCAGCTCTTGATGCCCTGCCTTTAGAAACAACAGTGTGCAGTTGATTTCTACAGCCCTGAAATGGCAGTTTCATTAGTTTGATGTGATTTATGTGCAAAAAGTCTGAGAAAATAGGATGCTTATTTAGACAGACACCTGTTTGTAGGAGCTGGCCTTATTTTGGCTTCCAAAGCAGCTGTCCCCAAGGATCCCCCTCATCCCATGGGTCAGGAGCAGAGACGAGGCAGGGCATGGGGCAACTGCTGTGCTCAGAAGCAGCAGGAAGGAGGAAAGAGACTGGGACCCCACCTCTGCAGCTTCCCACTTCCTCCCCCCAGCATCTCTCCTTTCGAGTGCTACCTGGGGAGAGAGCATGAGATACAAAATTCACTCCCGGGGCGGGACTGGCTTGGTTATTTCATCCTTCAATAAGCATCCTTCACCTGGTGGGATGAGGATTCAGGTGAACTACAAGGTTTATGCACCCGCTTTTTCTTAGTTTTGAATAATCTCGTATTATTGCTGGTAGATGAACTACATTCGTCCTGTCATATATTCCCAAACCCAGGCAGTAGCAAGACCAACTCAAGGGGTTTTGTTTTCTTTAATTTTTCAGGGCTTTGCAAGCTGGAGAAATGATGAAACACCTAAAACAGTGTGAGAGAAAAGATTGTATAGGATTATACTAAGTAAGCTTTCTGGTGGGAAGCATGCAATTATATATTATGTACTGTCAGCACACGGAGCGTGATGGGACTATAATTTTACCTATGTTATTTGCTCTGGTTGCCAGAGAAACCATATGAAAAAAGTCAAAGTGCTCCTGTCCTTATTGATCTTCTTAACAAACTCTTGCAAACAGCATCAGGTGTTATAATGATTTTCTTCTCACTGAACTGATGTCTGAAGTCATACACACAACTGTCAGGACCAGCCGAGTACTGGTGCAGAAAGACAGGCATAAAACTAAACTAAACTAAACTAAAATACAATAAAAAAAAATCTGAGCTGAAGGAGACAGCAAGCACATTAAATTGAAGTGGTCATGCATATGAATGCTTTACTTCGTATTTACTCTAAAAGCCTTATTTATGCAGAGAGAAATTAGAAAAAAAATGAGCTGCAAAGTCCAGGAAAATTGCTCTGTCAACGTGAAGGTGAGTGAGAGGGTGATGGACGTCTCGGTGATGGACAGCAGTGTGCATGCTGGAGGGAAATGTGAAGAAGACTGTGTTTAGAAGGCTGAGAGGGGATCTTATCAATGTTTATAAATACCTGAGGTGTGGGAGACAGAGGGATTTGGCCAACCTCTTCTCAGTGGTTTGTGGGGACAGGACAAGGGGCAATGGCCACAAAATGGAGCCCAGGCAGTTCCGCACCAACATGCGGAAGAACTTCTTCAGGGTGAGGGTGACGGAGCACTGGGACAGGCTGCCCAGGGAGGCTGTGGGGTCTCCTTCTCTGGAGATATTCAAGGCCCGTCTGGACGCCTGCCTGGGCAGCCTGCTCTAGGAAACCAGCTGTGGCAGAGGGGTTGGACCTGATGGTCTCTGGAGGTCCCTTCCAACCCTACAATCCTGTCATTCTATGAGTGCAAAGCAAGCCCTCTGGAGACAGCTGTGAGGTGCAAGAAGAAACATTAAAACTGGGGTCGTGTGCATGTGTTTGTCTGCCCTTTCTTAATGCTAGTGAAAAATGCAAGATTTTTTCTCTCATTTTTGGAAGAATTTTCTCCAGTAGGTTTAGCAGGATGTGAGGAAGAAAAGATAACACCTCCCTGCCTGACTGGAAGCCCACAGCTAACTTGTAATGAGTTTTTCCTAATATCATTTCAATTATTCTCCTTCCCACTGAGGGTGAGTGCAAGATATAACTTAAGTAAAATTATTGCAGCCCTATTTTTAAGCGTACGTGTGCAGAGCAACATTTGGGGCATCGAGTGACTCGGGTCTTTGGAAATTCAACCAGACAGCCCCTGGGAAGTGTAGAGGGGAGCTGTACTCTTGTAGCTGCATGGATAGAGGGCTTGGGGTTATTTCTCTCTGTTTTAGCTCCCCCCTAAAGGCAGCCCTTTTTGGAGAGCTGGCAAGGGAACAGCATGGCATGCTTACTGCAAATGGACTTACCATAATGTAACACAGTGAGCGAATCACCGCCCCGAGACCGCGGTCAGTGGCTGGTGAAATTGGATCCTAAATTACTGTGGGATCTGTCATTACGGAAACCATTGCAGTATAGAAAATATTCTCCACGTGTATTCTCCATTTTCCCATTATTTTCTGATTGGTATGCAAAGTGCCTCTGTTGAAATGTAGCATCAGGCTGATCAGTGGCGCTGCTCGTTACGGCCGTGCCGTGTGTTTTGCCTGTAATTGGAAACACTTCTGTAATTTCATGACTGACACTGACTGCAGAATGGCTAGCTGCTTATCGCTGCATTTCTCTGTGCTTTCGTGGCCCTGCTTGGTTTCAAGCTTAGTTATGAATTTATATAAACATGATCATTTAAATGAAAACTTTGCCTAAACATCTTCCCCCCAGCATTTTGTAATATTTTTCTTTTCTTTCTTTTTTCCTGCACATAGTGCTGGCTCATTTTGTGTAACATGATATTAAATTTCTTTCCAATTTTCATATACTAAATCTCCCTTGAGAGAGAAAGGCAACATCTGAGAGCAACTTGCATGAGAGGTGAAATTATATATTAATCTCAGGCCCGTTATTGCCTGAGAGCTCTGCATATATATAGATAGCAGCATATGTGTATTGCTACTGACAAAACCCTAAGGAATTTTTAATGGCACGTTTATTCAATATGTGCAATTGAACACATACATGTCCTCTGGACCCATCTAGATGCATGGGTTATGCCTGAATGCTCCCACGCTACACAAAAAATGTTGAAACAAGCCATTTTTTGACCAAAAGCTAAGGAGGCTCCAGGACCATGTGTATGTCTCTGGTAGACACTTACACCCTGTGTTTTAAGAGTCTATTATTCTGGGCATACGTAATTTAATACAAATAAGAGCAATAATTTAAATAATGGTAAGCGGCTTTCCTTTTGGCATTGAGCCAGGTAAATGAGACTTCTTCAATTTCGTGGTATCAGAATTGACTCAAACCAGACCTCTTGTGCTTAGAAAAAAAATGCCCTGCCGACCCAGTGAGTTTTAAGCCCTTTCCTTATTAAAAAGCCTTTAAGTCAGTAGCAAAATTCCCATTATTAGAGCAAAGCAATCTCCTCACCAGCTAATGTAAAGGAAAAGCACGCTTGATTTGTAGTTGTTGCATAAGGATGCAACTAGGGTTTGGAGGGGCTGCCCTGTTCTCAGTGCCCACCAGTTATTCTCCCACCAGTTCCTTTGCTCTGCTCTGGTGGATAGGACAGGGTTTGCTACCTCCTTTTGGCAGGGTTTTGACAGAGTGGTGGATGAGCAACCTGACAGAAGGGCTAAAAAACCAGGCAGGCTCTGTGTAGGCTTGCTGCCAAACTCCTAGTCCCCTGCTGCCCATGGGCAGGCAGCTGTTTTTTGGTCCTGAGGTTTATAACATAGATGTATTCTTTTCAGTCAGTGCTGTAAAGCAGTCCCAAAACACAGCCTGCCAAATTTCAAGTTGCTGACGGAAATAAATAAATATCAACGAGCATATGATATGAAGGAGAAAAAAAATATCCTCTGTTTCCTAAATTAATTTTCAGGAATTGCTGAGCTGTTTCAGTAGAAAGCTAAAAAGCCTGGAGAAGAGATCTGATGGGGCAATTCCAGGCATAATGATTAACTTTTTAACAACTTTCAATTGCAGGAAACCTGGTATTTTTAATGAGGAGGTCAAGGTATCCTGAACACAGGCAGCATAGCCTCACCAGAGGTCTGTTAATGTGCCTCAGACCCCTTTCCACATTTTTATAAGAGCAGTCTGTCCCTGTTGCATTTCAGTGCAAAGTTGTTGGCCTTTGGTAGCCCTGGCTGGAGCCCCACAGTGTCCTGGTACCAGCCAGGAGAAGGAAACCTAAGTTTTTAGTTTCCTACCATGTTGTGGAGATGCTGGAAGTGGGCTTTCTAATGAATTAAGAAATGTAAAAGTTATTTGTTGAGGACATAAATGCACATGAATGCTCCCAAATACTGAGCAGTGCACATTCATGCCCCAAACACTTAATGCTAGAGAAGACGTGACATGAAAGCCAAGGGCATAGCCCTGCTCTCTTTTTCATATTTTTGAGACCTCCTGAGTAATGAAGAAAATAAACGAGGTATCGAAACAAATCAGCTGAAGACCAAATAGTCCTAAAGTACAGGGAAAAATATCTGCAGCAACAAATGTGCTCACTTTGCTGAGGGCCAGTGATGAGCACAGAAACACAGAAAACACACAGTTTCTCTGTGGATACTGGAAGCCCAGGACTTCTGACGTTGAAATGTCAGAATGGTGTAAACAGGAAAACTTGGGGCCAGCTGCAGTGTCACTGTGTGCGAGTTAACAAGAAGTCTGTCTCAGAGCCTTAAAACGAGTCCTTAATAAAACAGCAGGTTAACGAACCAACACTGCAGACAAGATCTTGAGAGCAAGCTGCACGTCTGATACTCACATCCCTGCTAATTTTATTCTGCTGGAATATTCCAAGTGTCTCTTTTTATCATCAGCCACAAAGGACCAGGCACAAATGGACTGGAAAACATCATTTAGTGGGCTGTTTCTGTCCCTTGCTTCTGTGATGGCTCTCACTGTTCCTTCCGCTGGGTGACACCGTGTCTGGATTGTTTCAACAGCAGATTTAGCCGGCACAGGGCCTGCAGTCACCCGCTAGATCTGAGGGGGAGCAGAAGGTCCCTGCTCTGCCCACAACCTCCTCTCCTTACCCAGCGTAGTATGTAAAAAAAAAAAAAAGCTCCAGTAGTATGGGTGGGATTGATGGAGAGGTCTCCATCTGAT